AAACTGATGGACAGTTTTAGTGCTTGATTTGAGTCCTTTGCAAATTCGTTTCAGAGTTTTCATGCATGCTCTGCTTCAGGTTGACAATTGAGTGAGCCCCCGCGCCAGTGGCTCGCAGAAAGCAGCTTGAGGAAGGGAACAGCTGAACTTGGGGCGCTGACCCCAAACAAGTTCCGAACTGCCTTTGTAGTTTTTGACCCACCCTTGCCCACCCTTTGAACAGCTTTCTGCTCGGTTGTACGTGTGTGTACAAGGACGTTTGAAGAAGGTCAGGTCGAGTTGGGCCATCTTAGACTTCACAGTTTCAAGCTCAGTTTCGTTACTTCCTTCGAGTGACTACCTCCTTCACACTCAGTTGCCAGGCATGCGTTCACGCAGGTCTGAGAAGACTTTGCGTTGCTGAAGAGTGTAGCTCAACATGCAGACAGCAGTTTTGTGCTCTTTCTTTTGTCTGGCAGGCCGTGTTACTAAGGTCTGTCTGAGTAGTTGCGCTGTGAGGGGATGAGCATTCGCCGTCCCGTCGCTGATAGTTTGTGCCTTTTTGTCTGGGCACGTTGACAACGTCAATGAAAAAAGACATGAGCTGAACATGGTTCAGACAGAACGATTCAGAGAGAGATGATTCGCCCCACTGTGGGAAAAAGTCCGAGTGGATTGGAATGAAGATTGTCTGCAATGCTTGACACTTTTGACGATCTTGTTGATTTAGTTTAAACGGCTCAAGCACGGTCCTTGAGCAATAATGCAGAGTTTTTCTGAGCAACGAATCTCTCTCTTCTACACGGATGCTAAGTGCCCATCGGCTTGCAGTTCTGGAAGGTTGGGATTCGCGTTCCCACGATTCCTGGTCACAGGCTCACTCCGTAGCCGTTCTAGTCTCTCACGTGTCAGGTCAGAAAAATGTGTTGGCAGACGAGCTTAGCCGTGACAAGCTAGACAGGTTCAGGTCAAAAGCCCTTAGCTCGCTTCCGCTTCACGCGCAACCAACTCTGTCAGCCAGAGGGCGTAGTTTTGCATCCCGGGAAAATTTTGTGGAAGCCTCCACAGGATTCCGGATGAAAAGCTCGAGCAGTGTTTCTACGAGCCCAAAAGCGCATGCTTGAAGATCAGCGACAACATGGTCCAAGTTGCCCACTGAGGCCCAAAAGAACGTGCTCCAAAACAAACTGTTCGTTGGGTTCTCCAGCACCCATGGCAAGCCAGCTTTCTCTGCTGCCTGAATCACTCTAGCAGAGAACGCATACAGGGAGTTGGCACTCAAAACCCGGGACGCATTGACTCCAAACAGTCCTGGCATTCCGTCCGGGTAAGTGTCAGACCTAAGTGGCGGCGGTCCGCCCGGGATGTCTTGCACGGGAAGCTGTTTTTTTTTTCCTTGGTCTAAGCAAGCCGCTGTCAGGCGGGCGGAGCCCGCGAAAATTTCCAGAAAAGCCCTGGAAGGGCCATCGCCCAAATGGCGAGAGGATGCATTAACAGAAGCAGGAGACTCCGCGACTGAGGGCAGAGCCTGAATGCTGTGCGAGGGCGCTTCGTCCCTCGGACTCTCATAACTCTCCTCAGCAAAACTGGGCTGCCCCTGTGGCAGGTCACCGGGGCTTGCGGGCAGGTCACCTGCCGAAACCTCGTCCGCCCCCTTCCTGTAGTCACAGCTTCTGTGGTTTCAGAGGGCACTGGGTGACTGGGTGGTCACCGCCACACGCCAAGATGACACACGAATGGTCGCCTTTCTGGCAACTCGGGTCTTTGCACTGCCCCAAATTGAAGCCATAGCAATTGCGATTACCCTTCTTGTTCCATGCTGATGCACCTGCGTACCGCAAAGGGAGTGGCAACCAGTCGCCCTTCCCTGTTTTGCCTTTGTTCTTGCCATAGCCTTTGGGTGGGTTGTAGCCCCATTTTCCTTTGCTGTGGCCTTCTCTGCCCTGCGAGTACTGTCACTTGCCTTTGCCTTTACCCTTGAACTTCCCCTTGCCGTCCAAATCAGGTAATGGTAGCAAGGCAACAATCAGCTCGTATTCATGCAAGACAGTGGCTAAAGCATCGTCTAAGGGGAAAATACCATCTGGTTTAGCACGAATGTCCTTGCCATCCTCGCCGAGCTTTGCGAAGACGAGCTTATCAGCTCTCAAAATCTGCCGCAGCGAAACTTTCCTATAGCCAGCCTGGGCCGGCTTTGTGATGAATCTGAAGAGTCAGAGGGAGTCCAAATATTTCTCGTGAGCCTTCCAGTTGATGAGGTTTGCGAACGCATAGGCGAGCCCACGGCGCCGCAGTGCCTGAAGCACTTGGAGACTACCTGCGATTTCTGTGTCCTCAATGGAGGACTCATCCTGCATAGTAAGCTTGCCGTCCTCGACGACCAGAGTACGAACAGGCGCCTTCAAGTTTTGGACCTCTGCTTCTCTAGAATGACATTTCTCGAGGCCTAAGTACTTCAATGTCCTAGCGTCCCACTGGTGCATCGCGGCATCCAGCAAACTATGCGCGGGCTCCAGATCACCGGAGATGTCGATGCCCGTGAGGTCGTTCCTCAACTTGTCCAGCCGAGCATTGCGCTCAGCCAAGCCCACCTTTTTGGTGGAAACTCCCTCCGGGTGCTCTGCAAAATCCTTCAACGAAGCAACCAACAACGTCTGGGCTTCCAGGATCAAGCGCTTCAACGACCCTTTCTCTCCCAACGTCAGATCTGGCAACAGGGAATTGCCCCACCTGTTGAAGTCTTCCTGAGGAAGTACCTGACCCGGCTGGCCCATGCAGAAGGCCAGTTGCGATAAGGTCACGACTCCTGTCGTGGACAGGGCAGCTACGACTCTGTCTGTCAGAGCAACCTCTGCAGCACGCTGCTTAAAATAAGGCTTAGAATCCACAATGGTCGTCATAGCGTCAAAATTGGGCGTCTAGAAAACTTGAGCCGTACCTGACTGGCATGGCTGAGCTGTGCAACATGTGTCGCAAACAATTTCACAAGTGCCAGCTGAACGAGATGTCCGCTAAATGCATACACTGCAAGATCACGTGCACGCGCAAACAACGGAAAACGCCTGCACACTATCATCTTTTGCGCACTGGCCTCACGTGCCTTGTCACTTTCAGTGTTCGAAGCAGCCCTTGCATTGGGAAAGCAACCTTGCTCGGCTACTTCCAACCTGCGCGTAAGTAGTCTGAAAAGGCCTGCCACACGCAAACTTGGCAGAAACCGCAACTCTGCAGTGGACGATGGTGCTCTGAGGATGGGACCAGAATGTGTCATGCTGAGGCTCAACGGTCTCTGGCGCAGAAGACTCAGAAGCAATTTCAAGGGCCTCGTCTGATTCCTTGCTAGGGTCCTCGGATGCTTGAGGAGGCTGGCAGGAAGCTTGCTGCAACAACGTGTCTCTTCAGGGCGAAGAGCCCACTCCTAGTGGCATCTGGTCGAAAATGGCCGAGGCGGACTGCCTCCAGCACAACCTCCAACTCTCTGAGCGCCTGCGCCTGTACATCCCTGCCATAAACTGCATCGCTGCCGGCAACAGCATCTGCACGTCGTCCCAAGATGCGTCGAGTTTCTCTGCTCAACCCGAACTTACAACACCAAACTAAAACAGTAGCTTTCAAGCTGTGGCTGGTCAGGTGGTTCTGCGGCCTGGGTAGCAAAGCTTGCAACCACCGTGAAATTTCAGCTGACTCAAGTGCGTAATTCGACCAGGTGTTGTCCTCGTGAGGAACAGGGAGCAAGGGGACCTTATCCAACTCAGTAGGCAAACCAGCAAGACGGCGAACCTGCATGAGAGTGTCGCCGAACTCCGCGGGCGCTATCCCGCGGCCCGGGATGACAATGGGCAAGAGGCGCTTTTTGCGCTCGTCTAAGCGAGCAGTCTTATGTCGCAAAGTGTGGCACTCAATGAAACCCTGACTCCAGGTGTCCTCAGAAGCCTTATCCCAACACAGGTCAGACACTTCCTGGATGACGGACGCCCTGCGTCGCCCATAAAGCATGGCAAGAAAATGGGCAGCCCCCGCGCGGTCAACAATGTCAATGGACTCGTCATTGGCAATGACGTGCAACTGCAGTACTTCTACTACTGTCAAAGCTGGAGTTCTTCTCTTGAAGGCAACCTGAGATGGCGCCTTTAATGCGGACACTCACAAACACAACGCTGACTATGCGCAATCCCAACGTATGGTAGCTCCACGCGCAGGACCCGCGTGGCCCCGCGCCTCATGATGGCCTGTGGAGTGGATCCGACAAAAAACTTCCCTCTAGAGTCTAGACCCTCTCTCTCGCTTCTTCTAGGACGCGCGTGGACCCGCGTGGACCCGCGCCACACAATTGGGCCACATCGCTTCCTGATGAACGCTGTCTGGGACCCGCGCAGCATCAAATGGAATCAGGACCGCGGCACCCGCGCAGG